TTAACGCAAGATTGTGTTCCCCCGTGTTTCCTGTTGACATCAGTTTGATCGTCTTCACTTGGTAGATCTTCCTCGCTTTCCTTGCTACTGGCAAGACTATTATGACTGACTAACCACCATCTTCCCGCGGCAAGGGAGTTAACTGACTTTAAAAGTCCAGTTTCCACCCTTGCCGAACTGGGCTGGAATACCTGTGCTCGACCGTAGCGCCACCAGTGGTTATTACGAGTTATGTCCCGTCTACGTCTTCCTGACGTATCACTTGTTTCAAACAAAATGGCGGCGCCCAGTCAAGACGATCTGATCGATAATCAAGATCTATATTGTGATAAAACGGGTCTTACATTGCGAAGTGCATCAAATCACGTGAGCACCTTGATTAAAAGCATGAAAAGATTGCGAAAATATCTGTTGACAACGAGTTGGGTGTTCACATACCTTGCAAATCCTGCAATCGGCCGAAATCTGAACGACATTTTACGAACCGGATTTCGATTTCGGTGCACGATTTCGATTGGACTATGCATAGACTCGTTAGTCCAGCCAAGATGTAACTCCATAATACCAGCCAAGTTCGGCAAGGGTGGAAACTGGACTTTTATAGTCAGTTAACTCACATGCCTCGGGTAAATGACGAACCACTGGCTCATGTCGATATGTGTAAGGTTCACTGAGCGAAATTTCAACGTTTTCATCGATGACATTGTCAGTTGATGCCATAGCGAACACTAATAATCTACCAAACACAATACAGAAACAGTGATCGTCTGTAGGTCAACTCTCCACTCTGTCATGTGATGACAACTCTGCTAATAAGCGCTCGGTAGTTTCCGGAATATGAGTAATTTTAATGGTTTTTTTGTCACAAATATATTACTTTCGAATTTTCTCCTTCAAGATACTTGTTTCAAAATGCTTTCTAAATGTTTTAACAAATATTGATATAATCTGACATCTATACCAGGAAGAAAGTAGGCGTACCCTGAAATCATGCAATGTGAGTATGGCTTTACGCCGCTTTTAGCAACATTCCAGCAATATCAACGCGGGGGACACCAGAAATGGGCTTCACACATTGTACCCATGTCGGGAATCGAGACAGGGTCTTTGGCGTGACGAGCTAACGCTTTAACCACTAGGCTACCCGACAGCTCCGAAAGTGTAATGAGAGTAAGTTGCATGCAGAATCATTTAGTTTTATGCACAGTCATGTTGACGCATGTTGTGGTATATAGAGTGATGCAGAGCAAGAAAATATCTTGTAGTGTCCTGTGTTGTCATGCAGTGCCATGAAGCAGTATCTAGTCTCAAGTTGTCATTAAGGGTTGTGTTAGGTGGGTAACATGGAAACTTGTTTCTCATGGTTATAATAAAAGTCTCTATGCAGGACAAGTGTTTGTCGTCTTTACGCATCTTTCTTCGCAGTTGAAAACAAATTGATTAGGTAGCACCTTAAAATGGTGGTCAGCTAAGGCGTCACAGTTTTGACAAGAAATATGTCAATTGTTTAGTGCGCCATCACATCTAACAGTAGTCTTCAAAGGAATAACAACATCAGATCAAATAGAAGTTAGTTTTGATCTAAAATTGGATTGGATTCATAATATTATGACACATCGTGTTCCCAAGTGATACGATAGTGGGACATGGTCAACTCAAAAACACTCCAACCATTTACAAAATATGGTTGACCTGGTGGGTCTGCAACTATGATTTAAAAGTTCAACTTTACGACATTTGTGTTGGCTGTGTACAGCACACTACAGTACAATGGCTACAGTACAATCAATGTTTGCTTTCCGAGATAAGATGCCGTATTGCTGGTGAGAACGGAAAGGGAATTCCACCGTGACGTACCTACATGTAAGCACAATGCTACTCCAGGCTTTCCAGCCTAAAAGTATGTTTCGAAGTCAAGTGTATTGTAGTCCCGTGAAATATTAATCCATACATTTCCGAGGTCATGTTAGTTTAGTTGACGATGTTTGTATGGCCATGGTACATAAATAACTTCAACAAAAAGGAAATGTAGCTCAATAGAATTGATCAATTGATTAATTTTGCAGAATCACATCCAGGCACACTTGACGTTTTGTACTTTTTCATCACTGTCGATGGTGTTACTGATGTAAAGTCTGCCCTTGTGTCAGCCCTGTTATTAACCCCAGGTGGACATATCAGTAAACAACATGGAATGTTCTGAAACGACCGTGTCCTCGTTATCTACTGGTCAGATGCCCCCGTCCCTATCCCCAGGGTCCCCTGCCTTGTCCAGGGCAGACTGTGTCGCTATGTGCTTCTTCAGTGCATACTGTACCACAATGTTCTACAACAAGGAAACCAAGTCTTGTCATCTGATGGAAGGCTTCAAGCAGACACAGCTGGCTTCCACCTCCGAGCCTATTGAACACCTGGTGTTGGGTAAAGGTAAGATTTGTGATCTGTCATCGTTGCGTGTGTTCTTAAGGACCTAAAATTCAGGTATGAAATAGAAGGAACACCAACGATGTTGCATGTGCGAACAAATTGATAAAATACAACTAATCTGTACACATGTACCTTAAGCTGGTCTTTGTGTAATTTCTTTTGTAACAACTAGTATTTAAAAGTCGTCATGTCAGTAGATGGCCAGTTCCTGCCTGACTGTTTTCAAATATATGGTATTAATTTCGTTACAATGTTATTATTTAGCATGTAAAAACTCATTATCCACTTAAATATGTCATTAAGTTTGTTTGCTTACCTATTTCTTCAAAGATGATTGGACATATTGGTAGTAACAGCCAAGCAGTAATCTAAACCTTTCTAAAAACAACCACAGTTCAGCATAATAGCTCTGTTCCTGACTAGTGCCATCAATAATGGATAGAACATATAATATTTTGGCAAACTTATAATTAAAAGAATCCTCCTAATCATATTCAACATTTTTCTAATCAGCATAGAACATGTAACCTCCCATTGATGGTAACATCTGTAACACCCTGTTGAAGATTCAGTTGATAACCTCCGCCTTAGAAGGATTGAATATATAACATTTAACAAGGGATATATAGACAATAATGACGAGGAATGATGGATTAACTGTCCCAAGTGAAATTAATGTTTTACGTCCCGAAACTTGTAGGTCATTGTTTTTTAATTACCTATTGGCAAGTCTTAAAATATCAAGCTAAAAGGAAAGACACAGTTTATTTTTATTACAGATGCAATGCCACATTTCAAAATATTACAACGCGTGTGAAACTGCATTGGATTCGTGGATTAGTTTTTATGTTTTGCAAGATAGCAGACTATTTGTTCCATCAAATTTAATGTACTTATAAAGCTTAAGTAGTTTTTATGTTTTGTTTATCGCATGTGTGAACTATATTTTATTTGGATAAATAATAAATATAATTTTTGAATGTTTTTAGTTGAAAATGACATGTCTCGTATGGCAAATTTGTTTGTTAAAAAGAATTGACTGGAAATAGATAACGGGAAAAAATATTTCCGAAAATAGGTCCTTAACCAATGAAATTACAGGATTTCTAATACAGCCAATCGACATGAAGCGAACTTGAGAGGTTAAAGGAGAAAATACTATCCCGCATCTCCCATCCTATATTGATAAATACAATCTTTAACTGCACACGAAATATTGTATCTTCAGCTCACTATTAGGAAAGATTGTAACCTACTAGGGTCGATAGTGTACTGACGATTACCAAATTGAAAATATATGTTTTCTCTGTACGTTAAATGTTTTAGTGTGAAACCAACAAGTAACCAACAAACAGTATACAATTAACCAATGTATTACAGAATTCACTAGTTTAAAAAATCAGTACTTACTGTAGGACAATTACAATGGCAGTACACAATAGAGTGGTAGTACAACAATCAATGGCAATACATATTATGATGACAGTGGTCAGTATCAAATACCAAAAAAATAGTTGTGATAGCAAAAGTCAGTGATAACAATATATTCGCCCAGCAGTGGCAGTGGTCAACCTTCCGAGATTGGATGTGTTTGGAAATCCGAGGTGATAAGTGATTTTCACACGAAAGCTGGTCTTGATGTCATGAAATGTGAGAGCTGAAACAGGCACGCGCCCGCTCCACTTATATAATCCAACTAGCTTCCAGAACTTTCCACACAGTGCCAGACCAGTCTAGTGTCACAAGAACTTCGTAGAATAGTCCACATGTTGACATCCATCCATGTTATTTCGGAAGTTTACACATCACACGAAGCATCTGAATACAGTAATTTCTTCACCACTGCCTACATTAAATGTTACTAAACCCAAAGGGTTTATAAATCTAAATCATAGAATGGGATAGCTTCGCGCCTTTGATAGTGGAATTTAAACGTGTCTTTCCAGTGGCATATCAGAAGCCGAGCTGTCAACCAGAAACACATGCATTGAACCGTAAATTTTACCATGTGTGAACTGCTCTTTTTCTGCATTGTATTTTATATCTACCTCACGTTCATCTCGTATTTCACGCACGCTAGTGTTCGACACCAATCTTGAAAATGTATGTCCCGTCACATATGTATCTTACCCCTATATTTTATGCAAAGTCTCATAAATGATCAATGTCTATCTCTTATGTAACGATACGTCAATGGTCTGCACCTTTCTAAGATACCACAGGGCGGTCGGGTAGCCTAGCCATATTCCCGATATTGATACAATGTGTGAAGCCCATTTCTGGTGTCCCCCGCCGTGATTTTGCTGGAATATTGTTAAAAGCGGCGTAAAACCAGACTCACTCACTCCTATACCACAACGCATAAATGTTCTATAACTAAGTCTTATGGCATGTCACGTAAAAATCATATACCTACATGTATGTCACGTCATGTTGATATTCTATACCAATCTCATATGTTACATAAAGTTAGTGCTTTATACCTATGTCTTACGTCACGTCACGTTAGTCTTCTACACAAGTCTTGCCATTGTTCGTTTTGTGTTCCAGCTCTATGTCCGCTCGAGTCGGGCTATCTATACAGCCGGAGACTGAACATGTGTTACAAGAAACACACCGACCCTAAACTGTGGACTGACGCCAAGACAGCATGCTCAGCAGTGGGCAGCTACCTCGTCATCATCAACAGCGCTGAACGGAACCAATTCATGTACAACATTGCGGCAGATATTGGTAGGTCACGTGTAGGATGTTTTATGAGTCAGTGAATCATTCAGTCAATGGTGAGTGAGTCAGCGAGTGAGTGAGAGAGTGAATCAGTCGGGCGGTCTGTTAGTCAGCCTGAGGTACGATAAGGCACCCTCAGCCAAGTCACGCATAATAACCACCCAATCCTCACAAGTCGCCCATTTGTGATTAGCCTATTCTGCCCTAAAAGCACCATAAATGCATATCTGGATAGAATAAAAAATATAACATGTACAAGTGTCCTGACAATGCACTATTTCAGCCGAGCTTATGCAATTGTTGGATCAAGTCTTTTGTCCATAACTAACATTAAGTAAATATTTATTAAACACATTTCTATAACAGGACCGTTTTGGACGAGCGGGAATGTAATGGGATCATCCTGGAGATGGGGAGACAACTCTTCAATTGCTGAGCCCACATTCTGGAGCCCCGGGGAACCGAACGATCATCTAACCGAAAAATGTCTCACCTTCTGGGACCTGAGCCTCCCCAACAGCTGGCACGCTGGTGACTGTTACTACCATCCAATGGCCTATGTCTGTGAAATATCTATGTAGATTTGCACAGTTGTGTTTTTGTTTTGTTTTTGTTTTTTGTTTTTGTTTTGAGTGTGTGTGTGAATGTGTGTTTGTGTGTGTGTGTTATAGTGCAATCTGATGGAATAATAAATAACGCCGATTGTATTGTTAATTGTATTAAAGACGTCATATATCCATAGAAATATCTCTGATAGTTGTTCTGATAACAGGATATAGTTTCGATGGATTCCCCAAAGATTTCTGTTTCGAGAGGTTTTACCTATATACTCCAAGGGTGAATGAGTGAGTGAGTGGGTGAGTAAATATTTATTTACGTCGCATCAGCAGTACACTCTTAGGTAAAATAAATTGCTTTATTACTTTCCCGTGAAGAGATCACCCGTTTAATAAACATACAGCTGTATTATACATTGTGTAATACCAAAACGAGTGCTTATGTACTCTCGGAACACGTTTCACGAACAAACCTTGAAAGCTCTCGACATCCCTTGGCTTATTCAACGATATTGCATGTGGAGTTGAAAGATCACTGAGAGGAGCTTATGCACACTCGATGACCCCGGTCACCTTGTTGCTAGGCCGACGTCACATGGCATTGTTTCGCCGATGGATTTTGCAACAAATTCCACAAATTACGTCATTGGGTATTGTGACGTTAATCTAAACTTTGAGGTGCAAGGCCCGTTCCACAAGGCGATCGTATTGTAGCACAACGGCACTCGTTAATGTAAGTTAAAGTATGTGAGTTGCGATAGTCTAGATAGTCGTGTAGGTGTCAGCCTATTCATACTCAACAGTATATTTCTAAAAACGTTATGAATGGCAAGTAATAAATAAAAAACTAAACTCGCTCCCGTGTAAAACCAATTTTATGAAACTCGTGAATTTCACTTGTTTCACGGGAGCTTGTTTAGTATTCTATGTTTATCACTATATTGATAACTAAAATTGTCATCACAGACCAGGGAAGCCTGGTGCTGTTTTAGTGCGCATTGAAGTAAAACAGAAATCCCTTCCAAGCAATAAAATTTGGATTTTCAGTTCATTTAGTAATCACCAGAGCACATTCTATCTTCAAATTTAAACAAGTCTTCAGTTATGTGCATCTACAAAATGGTAATATGACAAGTAAGAGCAAACTAATTCAGACACGAGCACCAACCGTTTTTCCAAGTTATGATCAACGACTACGGGCGTCCATAGATGACACGAGCATAGCACTGGTGTCACTTTGATAATACTGAATCGCTGAAGCATCCTAGTAGACCTATATGAAGTTGAGATTAATTCGTTTGCGGTCTATACTTATTTCGTGATAGCACTGTCATTGTGATTAAATTTTGAGGTTCTTCAAAATAACCACACAGACTATTAACATTTTCTGCATCATTATTCTCAACAAGCAATAAGGCATGGCGCAAGTGACATTTCACATACTGCAATAGAATATCGACGCTCTGTTGGGATTAGAAAGACAAGGATAGTATTGATCGATTTTTTGTATTACGTATTACGTATGTTCTGCAATAAAGAGTGTCAAATATTGTGTGCCGTCTGGTAACATAAGCAGCTGAAAGCACACCGATCGGTGGACAATACAGTTCCACTGCTGATGAACCTTATAAAGCTTACATAAAATCTTGCAAACTGATTGCTTATATTGAGGTAGCAGCCCAAACTCCTCACCTCCATGTCAGAATGTTGAGATCTGATTGGTGAATGCGATCTGGATAAAGTACGACGCATCCTGTCTAGAAGCAAATATTGTTGTGAGCGGAAGAAAAAAATCCCTTATACCCCACCGCGAAGAAGATTTCTCAGTGGAATGATAAAACTCGTGCACCCGGCTACGAAGCAAAAAGTTGCATGTTGTTTACGTGAAAGTCATGTGGCACAGCACATATTTACTCAGCCCAATCTTTTTTTTCAATTTGTTTTAATCCTTTATAGTTGCACATTGAAACTCGTCAGAATAGGGAGGACATACACTTTCGCTTATTTCAGTACAGTGTTTTTGATTTTTACGGTGCGCCGGGTTTCGTTCTGATGTATAGATGGCCACTGTGTGAGATATAAAGAATATTTTATTTATTACTTGCCGTTTGTAACATTTTTCAAATATTTCTCTGTCGTATGTACATAGGCAGACATCTACGCGATCCACAGCAATAATCCCATTGAGTTTAACAGAATAATACATGTATTTCAAGTTCACAAGTATAAATTTAATACCATAAAAGGGCCTACGCTAAGGTGATCGTAACTCCCATACTTTAACATAGACTTATAATTGTCGTTGCGCTACGATCGCTTTGTAGAACGGGACCACAAAGTTTACAAACTTGTCACAATACCCTGTCACGTAATTTGTGAAATTTTGTTGCAAGGTACAGCGGCGAAACAAAAAACTTAAATGTACTCGTGAGAGTTATATTTTCCGTAACTCAATGATTTGTCTGTTTACACTGTTTAAAAGTACACAAAGATTTAATTCTTTGCTGCTAACAAACACCAGAATCCTGTTTGAATATAATGAACAGTAGTTCAACGCCTCATGTTGTTGAATGGAGTATAAGAGGCGTGTAGGTCCATTGAGAGCCCTAAATTTGCATGTTGTGCCACATGATGTCATGTTGTGTAATGTTTTGCCACATAGTGCCATGAGTTGTGATGAACACGCAGTCGTGCAGGTGTCCTAAAAGATAATTGTAAGGACACGTTTGGTATTGTCCTCTTTTTCGAATAAACATGGAATGTGTTTCATACTCCTTTCGAAGGCTGGTGTGTTGTGTGAAAAAAACTTGTTTCTCTTGGTAATAATGAAGGTCAACAGTAACCAACCCACCCACGCACACACACACGCGCACGCACGCATGCACGCACGCGCACGCACACACACACATCGTTAGACAATGCATATGTTCCTCAGAATAGTGTTTGCGTATTTACGCATCTTTCTTCTGAGTGAAAGCAAATTGATAAGGTATCATCATTTGTAAATGGTGTTTTCTAGCATGTCAATACTTCACTTCGTCAACTAAGGCTTATCAGATTCCTAGACAGCGCGTACACCCATTATGACAAGAAATATTTCAGTTGTTTAGTGCAGCATCACTGTTTTACACCAGACTTCGACGGAAAGTCTGTTTTGATCTTAAATCGGATAGTATTCATAATATGATAACACATTGTGTTAAGCTACAGTCACAAAGACAATGCAACCTCTTGGCGATTGATTGCCTTTGCGACCGACTGGCGATCGCTGAGACCGGTGCAACGATCAATCAGCGATAGGTTTTGCAACTTGTCAGTGATGCATCGGCAACTGTTCACCGCAGATACGGCGGCATGTTTGCAACTGGTTGAGACCGATCGGTGACTAGTCAGCGAATCATCGGTGACTTGTTGCAACTGAATTTGGGACTGCTTGGTGACTACTTGTCGATCGATCATCAAAACATAAAGCATATAAAAAGCGTGCTCTTCTGAATCAAATCATTTCTTTGCAAGTTGTCAATATGTTAACAGCAGAACAGTTGCAGTTTATCCGCCTGCAAAGAATAAATCAAAATGCTGCAGTTGCTGCCATGATGATGTACAGAAGAATGAGAAGGACAAGGCGAAATCAGTATTGGCCACAGCTAGGAGACTATATAAATTTGATGGCAGAGTTGGAGAGAGAAAGTCTTGATGATTTCGTGGGCTACCTCAGAATGGAGCCTGTCAACATCGGACATCTCTGGCTCTCCCTCCTCATCAGGTATCCGCCTCTTCTTTTGTTGAGATGCTGTTGGCTCTGGCTCAATTGTAGCAGACATGTGCACCACAGCAGTTGTCTCTACTGTGTCTTCTACAATTTTTGGTTCTTTTGTTTTCCTGCCTTTACGGACTATAGTGATGAATGGAAATAATTGATGTGAACCCTCTGAGTACTTATGGCAAAATGATGCTGTAACGCTGTCGCCAGGAGGTTGCATCGCGGTCGCATTGTCTGTGTCACTGAGGCTTTACTCTATTCTCTTTGTTTGTTGCCATACCAAATTATGGTTATGGCGGCATATGGTCAACTCGAAAACACTCCAAACATTTACAAAATATTATTTACCCGATTCAAAAACTGGGGTGCGCACCTACTTACTACACGATAATTAAAATAACAAATGACGCAGTTCTCGGTCAGTTGTAAACTTGCTATGCGTATTCACTGACGTCCTGCTATTGTGTATGCTATCGACTTTAGCATTAATAATTTTAGTGTTGATATTCCGAAAAGGCACACAATCCATTTTAATGATACTTCCTTTATCGGATGTTTCAAACTTAATGACCACCACAACCATGTATTGATGACAAGCCTCCTTTGCGAATACACACGGTAAATTATGAAGGAAACCAATATAATCATAAGTCTATTCTCATTAAATCAATTACTTTGCAATTTACCATTCATGATTCGTAAATCTGGATTCTAAAATAGCATAGAGCAAAATTTACCATTATCTGTCACATAAAAATAATGTAACTATGATTTAAAAGTTGCCATTATAAACGGTTCGCGTGTTGGCTGTGTGCAATACAGGAACACACAATGCATATTCCAATAAGTATTTGCTTTGCGATATGAGATGTTGTACTTCTGACGTGTGCAGAAGGGAATACCATTGTAACGCGGGTAAGCCACGTGCGACTTCAGGTCATTTACTTCTTTTAAGGATGGACTGATGTCATGAGAATCTACATTTTTTAGTTTGTGATAGATTAATCGATAAATTGCCGAAGGAGACAATGATGTGCGTTTTTGCACGATACATAAACATCTTCAATAAAAAGGAAACTTACCTCATCAATAGAATTTATCAACCATTCATTGAATCGTTCAACACAGAACGCTATGAAAACCTTGCATCCCAGAAAGACTTCAGAACCAACATAATCAAATAATGGTCATGTGAACCTACATGTGCGGTGTCACTGGTGGCCAAGTCGTCTAAGGCAACTCAATTCGCTGTGTACATTTGCTTCCCTTGGGCACGCAAGAAACCTATGATCGTGGATTCGAATCCCAGTTCGCACA